AAAAAAAAATCATTCTTAACTCAGACTCTGAAGGTCTTTTATTTGTTAATGAATATATCGGATTAGCTTATGCACAGTCCTAGCATTAACTTATTGGCATCCCTCTTTTGTCCATTGGTTTTAATAACCACAGTGTCTTTGTAGTGTGCTGCATAAGTTTGTTTTGTTTTTGTGTGTGCATTTAGAAAGCAATTCTGCCTACTGTCACGTTTTCTGAGGTTTACACAGGCAAAAGCTTTGTCTTGAAAGGCAGTCTTTTGGGTTTCTTTTCTCTCTTGCTCGCTCTGGAGCCAGAATCCCGAGTTTGTGACAGAATCCTCTGTTTGTGACATCCCAGCCCCTCCACCCCCACTGTAGCTCATGGTGATGTCACAAATGAAGAATTATGATCCTGGCAGGGGAAACAGATGAACTTGGAAGAAACAAAGATCTTCTTTGCCTGCAGCTGTCCCTAGTCATGGAGAGGTGGGGGGTGGGAAGTGAAGCACTGAGCCTTTGACGCTCCCCATGATGAGCAGAACCAGCTTCGCAGGGAGTGTTGTCCTTGCGAAGGCAGCGGGGTGTGGCCACTGGATTTTGCCTGATTTCTTTCCTCCCTGCTCATTCCTTTTCCATTTGAGGGAGGAAATTAGCATTACAGTTCTACCTACATAGTACCCAAGTTTTCATATTGTCCTTAGAACTTCCAAGGTAGTAGCCTGTGCTACTGAAGGAGAGGTATCCCCATCACCGCTGTGTGACACTGTAGAAAGTCTTCCCTGTGTAACAGCTCATGGTATTTACCTACTGCCCATATTTTTTAATTTCAGTTTTTGAATAAGTGCTATTCATGTTTCAAAAGCTAAAAAGTATGAAAAAATATTTAGTGATGAGCATCCCTTCAAACGTCCTCTGTCTGCCCAGGTCTCACTCCCCTAAGGTAACGACTGTTCTTATGTCTTTTGTTTCCTTCTACAGTTTTGTTGTACGTATATAAAATGTAAATCCTTAATTTTCTTCTTCTTCTTTTTTTTTTGTATGAAGTTAGTGTACTTTACACAGTTCTGTACCCTTTTTTTCCACTGTGAATGTCTGTGTTACATAACCAGTCTCCTGTTGATGGGATTCGAGTTTTGTCTGCTGGCAAGCTTTCAGACTTTCTCTTCTTCCTGATCCCCATGGCCAGCTTGTTAGAGGAAATGGGTGTCCCTTCATTCCAGGTTTCTCTTTTGGTTCATTTATTCTTGGGGTGAATATGAGTCATCAGGGATCTTCCAGGAATAGCAGTTAAACTGAAAGTGAAAGCTCAGAGAACAAACTTTTGAAAAGAGAAAAATGGAATATATGGCTGAAAGAGTAAACTAATCCCAACCTTGTTATGTGTGTGTGACACTTGGCTTATGGCTTAGCAGCATGTTGAGAATAGTAATATGATATAGTTCTTTTTAAACTATTTAAAATAGACTATTTTCTTGGTGTATTTCTATACTAAAAAAAAAAAATAGGTGGAAGAAGAGCCAGGGGCCACTGCAGTACCGAGTGAAATGTGAGGCACAGGGAAGGAAGAAACTGAACGATTTTAATAACATAGGAAACAGGCCAGGCATGGTGGCTACACCTGTAATCCTAGCACTGTGGGAGGCTGAGGTGGGAGGATTGCTTGAGCTTGGAGACCAGCCTGAGCAAGAGCAAGACTCCCTCTCTACAAAAAAAATAGAAAAATTAGCCAGACATCATGGTGTGCACCTGTAGTGCCAACTACTTGGGAGGCTGAGGCAGGAGGATCGCTTGAACCCAGGAGGTTGAGGTTGCAGTGAGCTATGATGATGCCACGGTACTTTCCCCAAGGTGACAGAGTGAGACTCTGTCTCAAAACAAAAAATGAACAATAATTCTGTACCAGGTTATTTTTGCTATTCCTTATCTTGCTTAACAGGCTAAACATGATGAATTATGCAGAGTAACAGATAACAGTATTTGTGAGAATGTGAGTTTTGATCATAGTCATTATGGATATGATTCACTGTGGAGGCAGCTTAGCATGGCGATTAGGGTTACAGGCTCTTGGCCAGGCATGGTGGCTCACACCTATAATCCCAGTACTTTGGGAGACTAAGTCAGGTGGATTGCTTGAGCCCAAGAGTTCGAGACCAGCCTGGGCAACATATCGAGATCCGGTATCAATAAAATTTAAAAAAATTAGCCAGGCATGGTGGTGCATGACTGTAGTCCCAGCTACTTGGGAGGCTGAGGCAGGAGGATCATTTGAGCCCAGGAGTTTGAGGCTGCAGTCAGCTGTTATGGCACCACTGCAAACTTCAGCCTAAGCGACAGAGCAAGACCCTGTCTCAAAAAAAAAGAAAAAAAAGGATGGTGGGTGTATAGGCTCTGGAATCTTAGTGTCTAAGATCAATTTCCTTTTTTTTGTTGTTGTTGAGACAGAGTCTCACTCTGTCACCCTGGGTAGAGTGCAATGGCATCATTGTAGCTCACTGTAACCTCCAACTCCTGGGCTCAAGTGATTCTCCTATCGCAGCCTCCCAAGTAGCTGGGACTACAGGTGCCTGCCAGGACACCCAGCTAATTTTTCTATTTTTAGTAGAGATGGGGTCTCCCTCTTGCTAAAGCTGGTCTCGAACTCCTGAGCTCAAGCAGTCCTCCCACCTCGGCCTCCCAGAGTGCTAGGATTATAGGCATGAGCCACTGTGCCTGGCTTAGTGTTTAAGATCAAATCCTGTTTATATCACTTGACTTTGGCAGCCTCAAACCTTAGTTCTCTGTGCCTTAGTTGTCTCATCAGTAAAATAAAGGTGGTAATGTTACCTGTTACATAAAATTGTCATGAGGATTAAATGGGTTAATACATAAAGTACTCCTTAAATGTTTACTGTCATCGTTATCGTTTGGAACCTCTGCTTTCCTTGTTGTAGTACTTTAATGAATCAGGTATGTTTATAAATTTTGATATTTCTTGCTCAACGACGGACCCACTCTAAGCTTTGATTTGGCTTGTTGCCTATGACCAAACTAAAGTGAAGACATTCTGGATTCCAGAATGAAGAGCCTTATTTGCTCTCTTCTTCCCTATAGGTTGTTTTCTGCATGGATCGAGCCCTAGAATTTGCCCCTGCCTGTCATCGCTTCAAAATCCTCAAAGCAGAATGTTTAACAATGCTGGGTCGTTATCCAGAAGCACAGTCTGTGGCTAGGTAAGCAGTCAGGCCAGTTCATCATTGAAATGCCAGGTACTATTGGAGTGATGCTATCTGGCAGCTGTCTACAATGGGAGCTACCATATGGTCCCATGGATAGGCCAGTAGGGCTGATCAGACCTTCTTGGGACTTAAAGCCAAAGGTTAGAATGGATTTAAAAACCCACAGGGTATTTAAGAATATAGTAGCATATTGGGTATTTGAACTGTATGTATATGAAAGAACAGCTTGTGTTATGTTAGTTTTAGGGGGTTTTGTTTGTTTTTTTAAGTTGTCCTTTTCCTTCTACTCCATGGGTTCGCAAACTTTCTGAAAAGGACCAGATAGTAGATATTTTAGCTTTTGCAGGCCACAGGGTCTCTGTTGGCATTACTCAATTCTGCCGTTGTACAGTGAGCAAAAGCTGCTGTGAATAATAGTTGAACAAATGGGTGTGGCTGTGTTTCAATAAAACTATAGTTACAAAAACCAATGGCAGCAATGATTTGACCCCGTAGGCTGTAGTTTGCCAACCCTGTTCTAGTATAATAAGGATCGTGAGACACAACTATATTAAAGATAAATATAAGTGTTTTATTTGGAAAGGTTTGGGAAGAGTTCTTGGGAAGCTGTCTACTTTTGGTTACCTTTAATACTGAACACATGGTCAAGGAAAAAACTGGCCACAAATGGTAGTAATGGTGAGGACATTCTGAACCACAGCTGAATGTGCCCGTTTCTGGCTATTGCAGTGACATTTTACGAATGGATTCCACCAATGCGGATGCTCTTTATGTACGAGGTCTTTGCCTTTATTATGAAGATTGTATCGAGAAGGCAGTTCAGTTTTTTGTGCAGGCTCTCAGGATGGCTCCTGACCATGAGAAGGCCTGCGTTGCTTGCAGAGTAAGTTCTAGGGACCAAATCTGGGTGGTAAAGAAAGCTTCCTTTTGGGGCCTTTTAAGATGGTTAGAGTGGAAGCTTTTAGAATCACAAGAAACGTGAAGCTTCTCGTCTGACTTTGCAAGGACACTTGGTCTTCATTAGAAATGATTTCATTGCTGTGTGCTTTGGCTCATGCCTGTAAATCCTAGCACTCTGGGAGGCCGAGGTAGGAGAATCGCTTGAGCTCAGGAGTTGGAGACCAGCCTGAGCAAGAGCAAGACCCCATCTCTATCAAAAATAGAAAAATTAGCTGGGTGTGGTGGTACGCACCTGTAGTCCTAGCTACTTGGGAGGCTGAGGCAGGAGGATTGCTTGAGCCTGGGAGTTTTAGGTTGCAGTGAGCCAGGCTGATGCCAGGCACTGATCTCTCAAAAAAAAAAACCAAAGAAAAGAGAGGAGGGAAAGAGGGAAGGATGATTGATTTCAGGAGTACTTTTATTTACCTGAAGGTAAATGTGATCATATAGGATCAGATCCTTATAATATCTAAATGGGACTTTTTTCTTTTTTTTTTTTCCCTTCAGTGAAGAAAGATAGTAATACTTGCCCTGGGGGATGGAGGCAAGTCCTGGATAACATAGGTCTTATTGGTATTTTTTGTAACTCTTGGTTTCCCCCGTACACTCCATAGGAAGCACAAATGGCCCAGGTCGTGGGGCGGGGTGGGGGGGATGCTTTGTGATGCTAAACTACTGGAATTGAAGAACTTGAAAACAGACTCTGGCCTCTCTGTGCAGTGGTCTGAGGTTGTCTGGGTGTGAACTGACCTCCGTTACTTCTTTCTGTAGAATGCCAAAGCACTTAAAGCAAAGAAAGAAGATGGGAATAAAGCATTTAAGGAAGGAAATTACAAGCTAGCATATGAACTGTACACAGAAGCCCTGGGGATAGACCCCAACAATATAAAAACAAATGCTAAACTCTACTGTAATCGGGGTACGGTTAATTCCAAGGTAAGCACTTGGTCTTGTTGGGGCCTATAGAGATATTCTTAAGGGACATCAGACAGATCTTGAGAAATCTGCCCAGTGAGGGTAAGCCAGATGAAAGAGGAAGAGTTGTTTTGGTTAATATCTCAGCTTGTTTGGAACTACCTTCTGAGTGGCAAGCTTTTCTCATTTCTGTGGAATTTGGGGGCACTTGAGGGGCAATTTGGAAGGATATTCTCACCTGTTCTTCAAGGTCCCTTTTTTGCAGTAAGAGAATGGCTAGGGGCTTTAGGATAATTTTAAGCAAGTATTGTTGCTGCTTTTTGCTTAAGCAAGTGCTCGTTTACTTCTTAGGAGCAATGTAGAAGAAGAGTATGAAACAGGCTTAGTTTTCTTCTCCAGCGTAACTCATGGTCACTGTGCACGGTTGGAAATGGCCTGAGTGCCCCTGTGACCCTACATAGCATAAGAATCAAAAAGTAGGCTCCTTGCCCTTATAGAGTTCTAGTAGTTTAAAACCACAGTAATTCTGATCCTTCTCGTTGGCCTCTGGAAGAATAGAAGGCAGGAACCACCCTCATTATTTCTGTTTTGGTTGGGCACTAACATGGAGTGGTAGAGGTGGTTTATCCTTGCAGATAAGTATGTTTGGTTTGCATCACATAGAAAAAAACCCAGTTTTTAATTTGTTGTCCCTATCCCCTAGTGACAAAGAGCAAGAACCTAGTATGACTGTTAGGGGCCAGCATGACGGATCCTCTTAGAATTTTGAAGCCATGCTCACAGTTTCTGGGCTCCCTCAGTCACCAAAAATGTGAAGTATGACTGCTCTCTCTTTCCTGAAGCTTAGGAAACTAGATGATGCAATAGAAGACTGCACAAATGCAGTGAAGCTCGATGACACTTATATAAAAGCCTACTTGAGAAGAGCTCAGTGGTAAGTGCCTCTGGTGGGTGGGGGGAAGAGGGAGTTGCCACTGGCCTACAAGGGGAATTGCATTGTGGATGACAAAGCAGACCCAGGGATGTTGTGAGGTCATTTGGTCCTTCCCCCTGCCTCTAGGTGGGATTGTTCCAGCCCTAGACTATCTTTATAGACCTCCAGCGGAGGAGATTGCACAAGCTCCCTCAGTCTCCCATGCCTGTGTCTAACGCCCCTCACGGTCAGTAAGTTTCCTCTGATGCCTGACCCAAATTCCTTTTGTTAAAGTTTAAATCCATTTCCTTTGGAGATTTTATTTTGTATTGTACACTTTTGCTCTAACTTGGCACAGTGCTTGGCACATAGGTGCTCACTCGATAAATGTTTTGTTGAATGAATGTATGGTGCTTGGAAGAGGAAGAAATAAAGTATCTCTTGGAGATAGTTGAGAGTTGTACCGATTTTGTCTGTTCTGGACGAGGGAAGACAATCTTATGGTTGGAGTGGATTTAATCCGGCTCAGCCTCCCAGCAGTATAAGGAACCTCCTTTTGAAATATCCTGGATAGGTAGTCTGTGCTTGAGTGTTTTGAGTGGCAGGATGCCCTGTCTAACAAGGTGATTTATGAGCCAGAATATGCCTACCCCTAATGCCCAAATTTGCCCCAGAGGCAGAGTGCTCCCCAGCAGAGTTGTTCATCTTACTCTTGGACCCAGCGGACAATTTTCTCCATACAGGAATATAAACAAGGGCCAGGAGGTTTTCAGAAATCCATCTCTTCTTATTTCACATTATTCTCCTGGCAGAGAAAACCTTCCTGTCTTTAAAGTTCCCAAAGGAAGACATATTTGTTGTATAGCAATCCTCCAACACCTGCTCCATTCCTTATTACAAAATGTCATCTCTAAAGAACAGGTGCTAGGCCGGGTGTGGTGGCTCACTCACGCCTGTAATCCTAGCACTCTGGGAAGCCGAGGCGGGAGGATTGCTTGAGCCCAGGAGTTCAAGACCAGCCTGAGCCAAGAGCAAGATCCCGTCTCTACTAAAAACAGAAAAATTAGCCAGGTATCATGGCTGGCGCCTGTAGTCCCGGCTACTTGGGAGGCTGAGGCAAGAGGATCACTTTAGCCCAGGAGTTTGAGGTTGTAGTGAGCTATGATGACACCACTGCACTCTACCCAGGGTAACAGAGCAAGACTCTGTCTCAAAAAAAAGCAGGTGCTGTTATTGATGCCTGATGAGCCAGTAGTTTAAGCTCCCCCATCTCATCAGTGTTGCAAAATATCTTGTGAACTACCTCCTGTTTAGTTTTCCCAAAATTACCTCACTTAACATAGGAAAACTGGTATGTGTGGAGGTTTTTTAAGTGAATTTCTAAGTAGATGATTAAGTCTGTCCAACAGAAACATACATGGAATTATATCATAGAGATTCTGTGAGACCAACCATCAGTCACTTCGTCTTTGCCCTTGGCAGACAAAAGTGGAAGCTTTGGAAGACAAAAGAGCACCCCCTTCGACACAGCTAACGCCTGTTTTTAACAGATGCAAAATGCTATATAAATGAAGGTGTTTGCTGCAATTTTGTCTACAATAATTCCCTAAATGTCTAGTGGAAGGAGTAGGTAGATACATGGTACTACTTACTATATTAGCTCAGGGGAATGCTCCGTAGTGTTTGAACAAGGAATAGAAGGAGAACAAAATTCTTGATTTGATAGGAGAATGAATAGAGGATCATTTTCTTCCTGTATGTATAATAAACAAAAATCAAAAATTGCTTTGAAATCAACTTCTTATCTTCGTGGTAGAAACAGAACTATCGTTGGAGTGGCTCTTCCTCTGAAATGCCACCACATGGGGACAGCGTGCACTGTTTAGTGCAGTTGGCTGTTTGGCAACAGTCCCCGTAAGCAGCTGGGATTGGCAAGAAGCACTGGAGATGAGCTAAGGCCCCAGCCTTACCAGAGGCCTGACCACTCTCTCCATGTGCCTCGACTTATCCCTGAAGTTGGGGAGATGCCAAGTGTCCATGGCATTTCCTATCGTGAGCTAGAGTTCTCCCTTTTTCCTTAAAGCCCAGCTTACTTTTCTACTTTTTCTTCGACTTTTTAAAAAATTTAAAATGTTAGGATATCCTTGAATTTTAAAAAGTATGAAGTAAAAGCGCGAATCACTGTAGTATGCTACATTGCATGTGGGCCTGGAAAGTTTATCTGGGTTAATCATTTGTCAGATCACTCTACACCCAGGGCTATCAGTTACCAATTTTTTTTACTTCAAATTACATTACATTTCATTCTGTAAATTGGTTCTCTGAGCTCTAGTAGCGTGTGTGTCCTATGTTTTCAGGGCTTTGGTTTCTTAAAGTCATAAATCAAAATGTTGCCAGAAAATCAGATACACCTAAGATGTTGGGCTTCGCTTTTGCCAGCCACTTTGGTAGCACTCTCCTGCCCTAGCCTCCAAGGCTGGTGGGGGTCTGTGATGTTTGTAAAGATGGCCTTGTGGGTTAGCAGCGTAGTAAGTTGAATCTGTTGTGTAGCATCTAGCCGCATTGCATGATCACTTCCCATTCCCCAGCTGATGGTGAAACTCCTGCCACAGTCTGTTTAATTGGTAGGCCACTCTTGGTGCCAGTGATCTTATCAAGAAAGGAAAATGCCATTTGCTTCTGTGCAAGAGATACTTAAAAGGTCTGGCGATCAGCCTGTCAAGCTAGATTCCTCCCATCTTGGGCCGGGGACCCCTCCTTTTTTGTGCTGCCAAAATAGAAGCAACCCTGTGTTTAGAGTCTCCTTTTCTTTCTCATTTACCAACATTTCCTAAATTGGTTGGTCTTAATGGAAGCATTTGCCAGCAGCTACCACCGTGAACTTGATCCTTCTAGTGGCTCACTAATCCCACTTCTACTCTGGATTAGATCTAGCCCTGCATGTTTATGGCTCTGTAGGTTTCAAAGCTCTTTCATACCTATTTATCCCACTTTTCTTGTGTTTCAATCCTGAGTAATCAAGTAGGCGCCTTCACATTGCCTTTCCTAAGGTGGTCCAGATGCCTCTTGGGTGGCTGTGTCAGAAGGAACTTTTCCCCCTTGATTACTTTCTGCTCAGAGCTGAGCAATCACTTTGCTGGTTGGGTGCAAGTGCCTTGGGGCCTCTTTTTTTTCCTTGAGGAACTGATAGCTGATTTTCTCTCACTGCTAAATTAAGGGCACCTGTTTCATGAAGCTTCTTACCAAAAGTGTGTATCATGTTTGAGCCATGCCTCTTGCCCTAAAGTGATACTGAAGACCATTGCTATTTATGTCTGAGCACTGTATTGCCCTGTATTTCCTTCTCAGTTACATGGACACAGAACAGTATGAAGAAGCAGTGCGGGACTATGAAAAAGTGTATCAGACGGAGAAAACAAAAGGTAAAGGAGTTGGGGAGCATTTGTTTCTCAGGGAACTGTGTGGTCTTACTTGTAGGCCCTGAAACTGGACACGAGGTGGTTTGATTTGGGGATCAGGGACCTACCTAGAGCCTTTCTGATCACCAGTTAGGAACAAGTGAGCAGAGATCCTGGGCGAGAACAAGAGGCACCTATTTCCTGGTCTCAGATCCTCTCTTTCACTTTCACTTCTTTTTTTGTGTGATGAGACTAATGTGAGGAACCTAAGTGTGAGTAGATTTTTTTCTAATTTCCAGAAGAAAGTACCGTAAGAGCCCCTGGCTTGGTTAACAGGGCTTCTAAGTCCCAGGCAGGGGGCTGGGACTCAGCAAGGGAAACCAGAATCAGGTTTGTCCATTGATGCCCGATGTCTCCCTCTAGAACACAAACAGCTCCTAAAAAATGCGCAGCTGGAACTGAAGAGGAGTAAGAGGAAAGATTACTACAAGATTCTGGGAGTGGACAAAAATGCCTCTGAGGATGAGATCAAGAAAGCTTACCGGAAACGGGCCTTGATGCATCATCCAGGTAGAGCTGGTGGGAGCAGGGGCTTAGTGGGAAGAACCTGCAGGGCAGGCCCACTGCAAAAATCAGTCCAGAGGGGAAGCCTTGGAGAGCTTCTTCAGCTTGCAATAAGGTATTGCAGAGTTCTGTGCCCTCAAATTTTGGGAAGTACCAAATTCCAAAATCAGATGTAAAGTGATTTTTCTCTCAAACTTTGTTCTCTTGAGACTCTCATTTCATCTGAGTTCTTCTTGTACTCCTTCCTTAGATCGGCACAGTGGAGCCAGCGCTGAGGTTCAGAAGGAGGAAGAGAAAAAGTTCAAGGAAGTTGGAGAGGCCTTTACCATCCTCTCTGATCCCAAGAAAAAGACTCGCTATGACAGTGGACAGGACCTGGATGAGGAGGGCATGAACATGGGTGGTAAGTTGGTTGGGGCAGCCTGGGGTGAATCTGACAGCTATGGAATGTTAAAATTTTTTCTAAAGACACTCCAGAGGCAGAGCCTGTACATAATCAGTAGCGATCTGCAGGGATTTATAAAGCATTCCCGTGATGCGAGGCACTATGTTGGGTGTTGGAGACAACAGCAATGAATCAAATAGGTTCCCTGACCTCCAGGAACCCACGGTCTAGGGGTTTGCAAACTTTGGCCCATGGGCCAAATCTGATCCCTGGTCTAAACAGACTAATAGACATGGAGTCAGACACATGCAATTAAGTGTAGCAGGTTCGCAGTGTGTAGAGTGGGCTCCAGGGAGGTGAGCACCAGCAAGGGAAGGCTTGGAAGTGCAGTAAAGCACGGCCCCTTTGGAGGTCTGCAAGGGGCTTCATCTGGGAAGAGAGAGGGGTGGGGTGCTAGAGGCAGGCGGTGGTGAGAGGTGAGGCCGGCAGGTAGTTGGATCAGACCTCCGAAGGCCCTAAGGGCTGTGTGTGGTAAGGAATGTGGGCCTTTTCCTATTAGCTAGCTGCAAGTTCTTTTTTACCCACTGCGAAGTATACGCCTACTGATATTTATGTGTGTCGTGCATTCCTGTAAACCCTCACAGATTTTAATTTCCCAAAAGTAAAGCACAGCTGTTGTCATTGTCGTTGCTCATTGTGGGCTCAATCAGAGACAGTAGAGGCCCTGAACTGTGCACAGTGTGCAGACCATCTCTAATGCCAACCCTTTCTCTTCACCAAGAAAATCTATTGGAATTTAAAATAAGAATGACAATAGTATATAAATAATCCTGAATCCTCTTCAGGGTGGGGGTGAGGGGGATATTTGTGTTTTATAAACCTAAGTTCACCAGTAATAAACATGTTGCTCTGCCTAGTTGAGAAGAGCTGTAAAGCAAGTAAAAGCTATAGAAGAGTTTTAAGTAGGGGTGCTATGGACCCACTTTTGGATCTAGAAATATATTTGTGATGGAAGTGAGACCGGGGTGAAGTAGGAAGACGAAATAGGTAGGCGAGGATTGGAGGGCACAATTGGGAGGTAGGGGTAGGCTCAGCAGGAGTGAGTTGCTGCTCAGATGTGTTGGGGAGAGGGCGAGGACTCAGTAGAGTGACTCTGGCATGGCTGACTGATGGGGTCATTCACTGAGCCAGGAAGATGAGCAGATGTGCAGGCAGAGAAATTCAATTTTGGACACGCTATGGCCGTGGGATCACCTGGTGATCAGGCTTTCTGTGTAGCTTAGGAAGTTAGCCGGGGCTGAGCCATCAGACCTGCGGGGCCTAGGGAAAGAGTGCAGCGCTGGAGTCCGGAGTTGGAATTTCCAGTCCTGCTGCTTTCACTGGCCTTGTGATCTTGGGCAAGTGACTTGAACTCCCTGCATATATTTTGTTCAGTATAAATTGGGATTAATACCCTGACAAATTGTAAATAGGATTAAATGTTATAATGTATTCAAAGTACCCAGCACTGTGATTAGAACCTAATAGGTACTTAATAAATCTTTTTTTTCCTGGCATGCAGTCTAGACAGAGTAATAGACATGGAATCAAATATAGTAAATCATAGATCTTGTTCTTATATTTACCTTTGGTAGCAGTTAAGTGATAGGTTTTAACCTTTTTGGTAGCAGCTTCAGCATTCTAGGGCGACCATGTGGGGAAGGTTTTGTGTCAGTAAGTGCAAGTGGCCCAGCCATGAGCAGAGGCTCAGAGAAGGCTTTCCCTTTGGATCATACTTGGAAGGAGAAGGGAACATGTCCTAGGAGTGAGACCAAGTAGCATGTTTTGCATAGGGCAGGCAGATTTGAAGTGTTGGGAAAGGAGGAAGGTGAGACTATCTGGGACAGCTTTGGAGACGCATTCTCAGCGTAATCAGTTCTTCTTCAAACACTTCTGATTTTTTTTACCTTTTTGTCCCTTACGTGTTACTTATCCTGCTTCACAGATTTTGATGCGAACAATATCTTCAAGGCATTCTTCGGCGGTCCTGGGGGCTTCAGCTTTGAAGGTGGGTATGCCTGCTGTTCTTGGGAGTTCCCAGATCACAAGCCAATAAGGAGGCAGCTCTTTGGGAGTCAGAGGGACCCATAAGTGGGGACAGTTGAATTCTCACCTAGCAGGGCATCTGTCCATTCAGCTGTTGCCGAGGATGAAGAAAGGGAGGTTCCCAGGCACACCTTGCCTTGGGATCATTAGCTCCACATCTCTGCAGGGTCAGGGAGGTGTCTCTAAGCTGCCTGGTACTGAGGCTTCTCTGCGAGAGTGAAGCTGTTCAGAAGCTGCACACACAGCGCGGTCACGTGCTCCCGCTTGCACCCCAGGGCCCTTCGAGTTTCTCTGTCTGAGATTGAAGCAGCCTTCCATCATCAGAGCAAAGTGATATTCCCTGGAAAATCCAGAGCCAACTAACAAGCCCTTCTTTTCCCTTTCAGCATCTGGTCCAGGGAATTTCTTTTTTCAATTTGGCTAATGAAGGGCAACCACCCAGAACCCAGAAAATGCAGTCACTCAGTTTAACCTTGAATGTGGACACAGTTCACCTCCTCCCTTCATCATGTCTCCGTGTACTTTAGAGCAGTTTCGTTTTCTCGGTTGGATACCCTGTGTCCGTTGTGAGTGGGGTGAAGGAAAGGGAGCCAGTGCCGAAGACTGCGGGTAGGGGAGGGAGGCGGGGGGTGGACAGGGAGGCAGCTTGTGAATTTTTGTTTTACTGTTTAACTTTATTAAAAAAGAAAAAAAGAATAAAACGTTTTGACCCTTTCTGGCCCCTTTGCTCTGGCAGCTGCTTTGTGTCCCTCCAGAGTCAGTGGGCCAGACCTGAGCCCCCGGCACGAAACTGATCCTAACACCGGCTCTCCTGCCACGCAGGGCTGTGGGCACGTCGGGCCTGGTGGCAGGTGGGGTGCTGCTGCCTCTCCTGACCTGTCCAGCACGTGAGTGCTGAGCAGGCCTCAGGCGTGCTGCTGGGCCCAGCCTGACGTCAGTCTTGGGGGAAGTGAGTTCAGAAAGCAGTTGGGACCCCAGAGTTCACTAGAAGCTGTGTGTCCAAAGCGCATACGTGAGCACAGGTGGGTGCTCACCTAGACAGGGCTGTTTACTTACACAGGTTCTCACAGTTCTTGTTATCATCGTGGGCTCCAGGGACGTGGAGAGGAGGAAATCCGGCCTCCTCGCCCCCAGACCCTTTCACAGTGGGATGGGCAGCTCCAGAGCCCTAGTCTGGTCACCGACAGGCCCACATGAGTAGGAACACTACTCCTGGCAAACGCCCTTGCCTTCTGCACTGGTTTCCCTTTCTGCACGTGGGAGGCAAGCCAGGCAAGGAGGCAGTGGCAGACATCATGCCTTTCAGCCAAGCTTGGTGTTAAGAGTGAGTAACCTTCGGAGTTCTAGGCAGAGACGCTTGAGGCTTTGCCTGAAGCTTAGATTTTTGTCCTTTAGTAGAGATGGCCAGGGAAAGGCCCTAAACTATAAAGATAACTTACCAGTTCTCTTCTTCCTGAGCTCCTACCCCTCTCTTTCTAGTCTTCCCTCCTTGGTGCCTAGGCCATGGTGAAATGATATGACTAGTCAGGCCCAGGAAGTCCCCATGTGGCTGTCTAGGCCTCTGCTGGCCTGAACCTCTTGAATGTTAGGTTTTCTCTTGTGCTTGAAATAGCACTTGACTTGAAACTGGCCTTCCCTAGCGAACTGGGAAAAACCTGTACTAGGGACTTTGGGTCTTGCTGAGAAATCTTCCTGATCAGATTGGGCTGTGGACACCTGTGGGCCTGGTGCCCTAGTTAATGGGGGACGAGAGGCTTTGTGCTCCACATCCCTCACACCCAGCCAACCCCCACCTTCTGCATGAGTCTAAGGCCAGGCTCTCTTTTCTGCCTCCTCATGAAAGCCAACACTGTTCAGCTGCCCAACCTCACCACAGCTGTGCCCAGCCAGCAGAGGGGAGACAGGACCGATGGCCCCAAGCTGAGGGACAAAGCCAGTGCTAACACACCCAGCCCTAGCCCCAGGAAAGACCGAGCTGGGCACAGAAGGTTGAGAGAGACTGCACACAGCTAGGATTAACATCATTTATTTCATTATCAGTCTTACAAGTCGCTGAGGTTGGGCAAAGCCAGGATAGTAACTTAAATCCGAAGCACTTTCAAGTGACAGCCTGATTAGCAAGTCCCTGTTACTGAGTAGAAGACAGTGGAAGGCACCCCAGGAACCACAGCACACGTAGCAAGTTAAACACCCCTCCCCACAGGCAACAGGTGAGCCTTGGCCCTTATCAGCTAGGGGTCTACTCCACTGGCTCTTGGTACCCACCAGCCCCCTTTAGAGGAGGCCAGAAGCCTCCAGAGGCACCATGGAGGCAGGACGGGCTGGGCAGACAGCAGACTGGAGCTTCCTCACTGACATGCTACCTCTGGCCACGATCTCCCCGTCCACCCAACAGAACCACGCCACTGGGAAGGGTGGCCAGCCTGACTTCCTGGATGAGACCAGCAGCCAGCCTGGGATGTGGCTGCTGCTGTTTGTTCTCTTTTCTTCCCTAGTTATCAAACTACTACCTAGTTACTGTGTGAAGGAAGGGACTGACTTGGGACCAAAGGTGGGAGGTAAACCCCTTTTTCTACCCTGCTAAATAGCCCGAGCCTTCCTGGGCCTATACTGGTTAAGAAATGGGATCAGAGCCACCACTAGTTTTCCATGGCGGTGGAAACTCCCTGCAGCCCCACTGCCTTTTGCCTCTAGTCAGAGGGCTTTTGCAGCTGACGTGTCTGTCCCCACGAGCCCAGCTCTGGTCAGAGCAGCAGGCCTGGGCTAGGGGCTGGGCTCAGGGTTCTGGTAGCAGCTCCAGGCCTGGCCCAGCCCCATCAGCTTTGGTCCAGGTTCCTGAACGGTACCTACCCACCCACTTTGTGTTGAGAGCTTGAGCATGGGGTGGGAGGCGGTGAGTTATTTTACAAGTTTTTAAAAAGTAGGTTAACTTTGAGTAAAAAAAAAAAAAAGACTCAAAAATCAAGCAGAGGGCATGTTTCCCTCTCCTCCCCTTCCCTTCTGAAGCGCAAGGGGCCTACAGGGGTGAGGACACTCATATGATGGTGCAGGACTGCATGGCACCCCCCTTCCGGCTGCCTTGTGTGGGCACAGGTTTGCCCTTCCCGTAGTATCCCGTGAAGATGGCCCTGACCTCCATCTTCTTGGCCAGGTTCAGCATCCAGCGCCCATTGCCCAAGGAATAGAGCTTGCCCCGGCTTAGCTCACCCACCTCCTCGCCTCGGTTGCCCCCCTTCTCCTGCCGCACAATCTCTAAGAGGTCGAGGCCCGTCTGCACGGCCTCCACGTCAGCTGCGCAGCCAAGAGTGATGTGGGCACGGCTCCCCCGAGGCAGGTTGTCAGAGGGGGTCAGCTTGTCCACGTCACTTGGCCACAACTGCAGCTCCTGCTCACTCAGCTCCACCCGAGCCCCAGTCGTCTTAGGTGTCACAAAGAGGGCAGAGATGGACAGCATGAAGGCCTTGCAGTAAGATTTCTTCACCACCTGGCGAGAGTGAGAAAGAGGGGCCCAAGCTACAGGTGGTGGCCTCTCAGGAGAGGCAGCTGACCAAGGGTGGGTTACTCCTGGGGGAGAAAAGGGGAAGGCTAACAAGTGAGCACAGCTGAGCGGAGGTCTTTGTTAAAGGCACATCATCCACAAGCATCTGCAGCATGCAGCCTTCCCGTGGGCACGGCTCGGGCTAGAGGGGAAAGCGCACGCACTCAGAGGCAGGGCGGCAGGGGTAAGGCCCGACCTGCCAGTTCAGAGCCTAGCTCCCCAGTTGAGCTTCAGGGCTCCGAGAAAGCTGTTCCACCTCTCAGTGCCTGGGTTTATTCACCTATAAAACAGGGATACCACCAGAGCCTACCTCAGAGTCAGTGTGAGGGTGAAGGGGTGAGTGTCCAGGCATACACAGCAGGTGCTATTATCACCGCTGAGCTCACGCTGGGACCCAGGCAACAGCCTCGGGACTCAGACATGCCCTTGATCGAAACACGCTCTGTACACTCTGGTTTACATCTGATTCTTGAGAAAGCCCATCTCTCCCATCTGACCGTAACAGCTTCTCTATTTTTGCTCACATTCCTTTGTCCCATCAGTGTCTGGCATGTAATAGGTGCTTAAGAAGCCAAATGAACGACAGGGTAGAAAGGGTGGTGGCAAGTGTTAACGTATTCATTCATTCAACTATGCTAGGGAGCTGGGAACGTGGGTGAACAAAACTAAAAACTCCTTTCCCTTGGGGAGCTTCCATTTGAGTGGGAGGAGACCAATGAACAAACAAGTAACATGGTTGTATTAGCCTGGGCAGAGGAGGGGGAGATGGGATCGGGGTCAGGGAAGGCCTCCCTAAGAAGGCGACACTGAAGGAGGGTGGAGACTGAGCTATGTGACTGCGCAACTGCCTGGTGTTTAAGGTCAGTGGCCAAGGGCACGGCGCAGGCTGCGCGGTGCAGAAGGGTCTAGTACCCCTAAGCTAATAAGCTTCATATCCTAGACACTCCCTCACTCTGGGGCAAGACTAGGCCTCAGACTTGGGGACAGGAACCTCAGTGCACCAGGCTCCCTAGGGGCAAGGGACTCCTAACCTTTGGAACTTAACACAGGCTCAGACAGGCCAGAGCAGGAGCCTGCTGCCGACCAACATTCCCCTTGAATCTGCAGAAGGTAGAGGCGCTCGTGGGCAGGCCTTGGGGATGAACGCACAAGCAGGCGGTACTGCCAGCCGGGGCAGGCTCCTCAGAATGGGCAGCTGAAGTCTGTGCCACTAAGCCTGGGGATGGGAGAGCTGGAGGAAGAGATGCCATTTTTCTTGAGCTGCTGTCTGGTTTCTGGTCCCCACCCGGCACCAACACCCATCTCTACCTACAGCCCCCTTGCCCTCCCCACCTCAGCTGGGTGTCCCTGGGGAAAACTCACATCCTGCTGGGCGTACTCATCTGCCCCGGTGGCCTTCCCATAGTCACAGAACTTGGTTGTGCAGTGCAGCACGCCTGGGGGTCTCTTCCCAAAATAGGTGACCAGGTCAATCTTCTCCCTGGACTCATTCCCAGAGATAACTGCAAGGAGAAAGAGGGTGCAGTCAGGGCAGAGGAGCAGGGGCATACCAACATCCACCACCAAGACCTGGCAGGCCCAGAGGAAGAACTCAGACATTAAGCACAAATTCTTGATCAATCCACTACAATTCATTCATTCATTAGTTGATTAAACTAGAACTATAAAAAGAGTTTAGGCCACTCGAGGAAGCTCATGCCTATAATCCCAGCACTTTGGGAGGCTGAGGTGGGAGGATTGTTTGAGGCCAAGCGTTTTGCGACCAGCCTGGGGAACAGTGAGATCCTGTCTCCACAAAAAAAGAGAAAAAGTTAGCTGAGCGTGGTGGCATGTGCCTGTAGTCCCAGCTACTCAGGAGGCTGAGGCAGGAGGATCACAGGAGTTTCGGGTTGCAGTGAGCTATGATGATGGCACTGCGCTCTAGCCCGGGTGACAGAATGAGACCCTGTCTCAAAAAAAAAAAGTGTTTACATTCCCTGGCACTACATTGTGTAGATCTTTTACGTCTCGTCCCCAAACTCTTAAGGCATGTGCAACCCAGGAATAGGTGGTACCTGCCAGGGGAATCTGAGATTTACCAGCATCACCTCTGAAAGGGGAAGGCAAGTCCTGAAAAGTGGGGTGGAAAGAAAAAGGAGGACTGGGAACAATGTAGTATGACAGAGCCAGAAAGAACACAGTCAACATCTCAGTCCTGTGCTTATCAGCCGTGTAGCCTGGGGCAAGTGACTGACCCTTATCTATCAACCCCAGTACAGCAATTAGGGTGACCACATAACCCCAATTTTCACAAGACCACCTGGGCAACTTAGTAACGCCTCATTTCACTCAGGGACCCATCTGGGGAAGTTACAAGGTCACCATCATAATACACGCCTTGCAGGCCTGTTTGGAGGATGACAGCCTCTGGAGAGCCTGGTGTAGGAAGGGTCTCGGGCTATCACGGGACATTATGCGGCAGATGTGAAGAGGTGTGGAGTGTCTGATTCCAACTTCCAGAATCTATGCCTGTGACTGTCTTTGGAGTCACCAGCTTTTTCCTGTTTATTCCCAGAGTTGAGTCCCTGCGAGGATGTCTCTTAACCTCCACAGGAGAGGAAGACTCCACTCTGAGCCTTGTTCTTGGCCCATTACGTTTCTCCTGCTGTAACCCAGGCTAGAAAAGGATTCCAGTTTTTCACGCATGGTCAAAGCAACTTTGAGTGGCAGTAACTCCAGGGCAGAGCCACCAGCTCGTACCAGGAGCCCTGCCTCTCGGAAGCTTTACCGAGAATTTGAGCTTTAGGAGCTGAGAAAAAAATTCCCCGAGAACTCACACAGACAAATTACCTGCTTCTGAGAAACACAAGCTAAGAAAGAAACATGTGCCGACTGTTTCAAGTATGAAGATGATCTAAAATTGGGGGAGCCAGAAATGGCCTAAAGGCACAGATGGATTAGAGAGTGCCGTTTCCCCAGTAGGCACTGCAGGAGAATGAGAGCCACCAGGACCCTCCCTTATCCTTAACCTACCCTGTCACTGCAACAAAGAGCCCTTGGCAGGACAGCACCCTGCTAGGAGTGGACAGCCCAGGGCTCCAGCCCGCAAATCCCACCTTCCTGCTGGGTCTGTTTTCCCATCTGGAAAGCAAGGGATTTTAGACTACGTATGAGACTCATGTTCTCTGAAGCCAGGGGATGCCACGTTACCCACGAGTACCCCAACTAGCCCAAGGCCTGCGAACTCTTCACCAGTCTAGGAACAACAGTACTAGTTTTAATTTTTTTGCAGCTTAGGATCCTATGTAATATTTTGTTTGGGAACATGGCTCTGCTGCTAAACATGAGTTTGCAAATACTAGGCCAGATTCTCCCTGAAAGGTGGTATCATACGGTGACATATTTCCTGTTATGATAGTAAAGCTGTTTTTCCTTCTTCCAACACTGGGCCAGTGGTCTACAGCCAGGCTGGGAGAGGGGGAATTGGGGAAAAGAGGGCCAGGGGAAAGGTGCCCTGGAAGCAGCTCCCCCTGTGCTGCCGCCGTGCTTCCGCTACCCAGGACTGCCTCTGAAGCAAGCGCCAACTTGCTTCTGTCTCCTCCAGGTGGGCCCCATCTGCCCCCGCTCCCCAGCCAGCACCCAGTCCTTTGAGTACAAGGACGGACCTAACGCACACAGCACCATGTGCCTAGCAAGGTGGGCTGACAAATGAGGCTACCAGTGCGGGGGTTTAGTGTCCCTCCCCCTGCCCCCACCTCACCACCTACAGTGTGGAAGCTCCTTCTTGAAGGCCTTGTGGTTGCCCAGCTCGTCCAGGAAGACCTGGCCAGCCTTGCGCAGGGCCTCAGAGCTCTTCTTGGTCAGGAACCAGCCGAAGTAGAGTGGCAGGAAGTCCTTCTCCAGCCCAGGCTTCAGCTTCTTCAGGTCGTCGGCCGACAGCTGCCACTGGTTCTTCTCCTTGAGCTGGGCACAGTCCAGCCGCCACGCTGTCTTGGGCTCCACCAGCACCACCTGGTACTGGTACTTGTCGGCCATGTCAAAGAGCTGCTCCAGCCGTTCCCGCTCGTGGTTGGTGTCATCTAGCACAAGAATTCTGATGTCCCGGCGTCGGCAGTAGGCAGCCAGTTCCTCATCTAGCCGCCTGTATTCCTCCGAGAAGGCTCCTCGAGCGCCAGGGGTGATCTTGTAAGCATCAGCAGACACCATCTTGGTGCCGTCGCGGTACTTGTCTACGATGACCCGTGCCAGCGTGGACTTGCCGCTTCCTGGCAGGCCACGCAGGATGAAGAGTGTCTTGCACTCCAGCAGTGTGGCCACCGTATCCTCATCCTGAAGGAAGGGAAACTGCAGCTCAGGCTTGTCCTTGGCCCCTGAGGATGACATTTTTCGGAAGAAGATCTTGGGCAGGAACGTGTGGCTCTTTCGGGAGAAGCCTCTGTTCTGTGTGAGGAGGGAAAAGGTGTCAGTCGGAGGTCGGCCTCAGGCACCCTGCCAGCCTTGCCCCCTGTCTCTGGCCTACTTCCCAGGCAGTGCAGTACTGGACTTTCTCTCCTTTTCTGTGCTTGAGAACCTGTCTGCTTCTGGTGGTGGAGGAAGGAGGGAGGCTTGTCTGAAGCTCTCCTACACTCTTACTGTCCTCATCTCAAGGATCACCCATTGCCGCCACCTCTAAAGGAAAACATGGAAGCTGTGCTGGAGTGCATGCAGGGCAGGCCCGGAGTCTGCGGTTCTGGGATTGGCCCTAACTTTTATATTCTTGGCACCTATTAAAGACGTCCTCTTTGGGGGTGGGGGGTCTCTGTGTCTGGGCCAAGCCACAGCTGCCCTGACTCTGAGTGCACAGAGAAGGGTGGGGGCAAAGAAGGGTTACCCCAAGACTGCCTCCCTTCCCCCAACAATGGCAGCAACAGATAATACTCTCTTGTCTGGGATGAGGGGACAATGGTCCCACAGAAGGGGTAGTGGGGGGCAGGGCAGGCGAGCACTGGACAAAGGGCCTCATTCACCGCGCCTGCCACCTCCTCTTCTGCCCTCTCCCGGCCCCCCACAAAGCCGTGGTCTTTGTGCCTGCCCCAGGACTGGGCGGCCCAGGGCACCTGCATTCAGGGTCTAGCTCTACCCACCACTTTGCTGTGTGTCAGCAGCACCTCTCTGAGCCACTTGTTTTCCTGTCTGCTAAAAGCCACCAGTAATAAGTCTTTACCGTAAACCGCCTCCTCCTCTAACACGGGCCCCGCCTCTCGCCAGCCTCGGCGGAGCTTAGCTGGCATGTGGTTTAATCACACAGGGCCGTGGGCATGCGCAGGGGAAGGCGAGGACTGGCTGCCCCAGCGAGGGCTCGGAAGCAGGCTGGGGCGCACCCGCGAGCCGGGTCTCCCCAGGGAGCAGCATCTTCTGCAATTCCCGAGTCCCTTCCTCATAAACGTCACCGTTTTCTTCCCCCAAGTCCCCCCTCTTCTCCCCTACCTTGGTGCTGCACTGGGGTCCCAAAACAGCTTGAACTCAAACCCGGAACCTCGGGTCTTCGTTTGCATGCTACTTCCCCCGAGAATCCCCAAATACCCTTGTTTTCCATTCTGGTACTACCCCCGTGCCCGGCCCGGGCCTCCCCCTACCCTCCCGGCCTCCACGCGTCCGCTCACCATGATGAGGAGGGGGCGCCAGCTGCGGGGGCACAAGCTCTCCGGGCCGCCCGCCTGCGCGGAGGGACACGGGAGTCTGGCGGTGGCGCGACCCCAAGCCGAGCCGCTTACATATCTTGGGGGCGGGCCGGGGGCGGGGCGGGCCCCGGGCGGGCCCCTCAGCGCGCAGGCGCCGCGAACCGAAACCCGAAACACGCGCCAGCTGGGCCGCCGGCGCCGCGCGGCACACCTGCGCCGCACCCCTGCCCGCCGCCGCCCGCAAGCTGGTCGGCTCCTTTCTCGTACGCGTCAGTGATGAACTCTTGAAATACGGACCCACACGCTTGTCCGGCCCGCGCCGGTGGTTAAGCGAGTTAGGGAGGATCGTGCAAGTGCAATGTTGGATCCTGCCTTTATTTAAATTTTGATATTTAATTCATCATGGACTTTTTGCATTAGATTTTTTTTTTACAATATTGCATTAAAATATTTTTATCTTGCTAAGTTTGTTGGCACCCTGGTAAATTTTGCATTTACCCGGGGCGGGGGGAGCGCCCCACTGACTTCACCCTAGTCCCCCCCGCTGTGCAAGCCTAAAGTCAGACTCAGCCCAGACCCTTCCTTCTAGGAATTGCGAAACGGGACCAGGATGGCAATGGCCAAAGGGACAGATGAATAACGGAGTGAAATCCTAACTCAGCCTCTGAGGCCAGCTGCTCAGCTGCCACCTCCTCTGTGAGGCCTCTGAAAGCTCGGTTGGGTTTTTGAGTTTCCTGTGTACGAAGTGCTGTACTCATAAGCGTCACACCGACTCCTGAGGCAGATACCGCATTATACAGAGGAGGAAACGAGCTTCTTACTTGATGGTAGCACCCCGAGGTGGCAGAGGTAGAGTACATCTGCCGCCCCACTCCCAGGCTACTACCCTGTTCCTTGGCAGGAGCCATTTTCTTCTGCGCACTAGAGCACAACCTGTCTTATCAGTCCCAGCACTCGCTACATTCTGCCTTCCAGGTTTAGGGCGTTTCCCACTGTGTGAGAGCTGAGGCCTTCCCGCTATTGTCCCATCATTGTTTGTTTCTTCCACAAAGCTTCCCAGGGTGTCCCACGCAGCATAGGCCTCAGCACAATAACCAACGGCCCATGGCTGGGCAGACACACCTCCACTCCCGGGCCCCTCTCCTCCTCCCTTTAACCTTGCCGGGTTCCCTGGAGCCGCCTGTTTCTTCGCCTTCCTAAAACCCGTTCTTCTTAGCACTTTTCTCATTTCTTCCATGAGGCTATTCTGAGAATGGGTGGGGGTGAGGAGGCAGAGTGATAGACTTGGAGTTTGTAGGAGTGAAAGATATCTATTTAATGGTAAAATAGTGACAGAAAGAGGCAGAGGTGACCTGTGGGACCCAGTCCCCCATTTTTGCTATTAAAAACAAATCTCATCTTGAAAGTCCAGTTTAGTAAGATCCCAAGACCCCTCTGAACACCAGCCTCCTGATCCTAATGCCTACTGACCATGGCTTCATTCGTGTTCCTTTTCTGTTTTTTCATTTTCAGCATTTTCTGGTTTTTTCATTTCTCTTTTTTCTCCCATTTCTGTTTTTCCCTGTTCTTCCAACTCTCTATGGCCTACTTCTGAAAGTTTCTTTAGTCCTTCTGATTCCTTTCCGCTTAATTCTCCTGAGAGTCTTTGGCTTAATTCTCCAGAAGGCTGCCTGTAAATTTCTCTTGATCCTCTCCTGCCCACTGGTAGTTTCCTGCCTGCATCTCCTAATCTTCTTGTGCCCAACTCTGACACGCCCTTGGCAACTTCTCCCGAACCTCTTCCGGCTTTTCCTGCTTCCTCTCCCTGCTGTGCACTTGCTGTGCTCTCCAGGGCCTCCCTGAGCGCCTCCTCGTCGTCGTCTTCTGTCTCTTTGTCGCTCTCGATCTGCTCTCTTTCCCACTCCTTCATCACCTTCTCAGGCTCGTCTCTCACTCTGCTCCTTTCCTTCTCCTTTGCCATTATCGTTTTCTCTTCAAACCATGAAGCCGCCTCTTCTGAAAAAACAAGAGAGAGGGGAGGAGATGAAAGTTCATCCCTGTGCATGCCTGTGCTTCTGAGAGGCGGCTGAGAGGCCCCAAGAACGACTGTTTTCACAAGCTCTTTAAATGGGTGCTGGCAGCACACGTTTCCAGGAGAGGAAGGGAACCATCATTTACTGGTGCCAGCCCAGCTCTGGGCATCATGGGAGGTGCTGTAGAGATTACACCATCTGGCCGTCGTGAAACTGTCATTGATTTGAGTCAAGGTACCTGAGGGTGCTGGAACAGCAGTCGCACAGTGGTCATGCTGCAACTAACTAAACGGCAGAGCTGGAACTTGAACCTAGGACAGGCTGACCCCAGAGCACATTCTCTTTTCTCTACAATAAATGGTACAGCTGCTGGGAAACGACAGAGGGTTCTTTTCTCCAGCATCCTCATTCTGCCGCTTTTTCTTTGTCCCGGGGAAGCGCGTTCATTGTTTGTTCCTACCGAAGTATGAGCAGGCTGCCAGCAGGAAGTTCGGGTGGAGACCTATCTACCTTACAGCCGGGGGTCCTCGCTCCTTGGTTTTAACAGTTACAGAGATAAGTGACCCATCCCGCTGGCGTCTCCCTCATTCTCTTCCTGGAAGGCGCAGGTGTCTACGACAAGGCGCCGGCCCTGGCTCTCCGTCTCGGGGTTCCCGGCCCTTCGGAGGCGAACACACGTGCGATGCTGCCACCTGCTGTTCTGAGAGGGAAGTGCCGGCAGTTCCACTCGCGCAGAGCCTTCCGGATGAGCTTTTGGGAGGACACTCAGCGTGGTGCGGGGAAGCCGCCAGGGAAGGCTGCATGGAGCATCTGCTTCCCTGCTGTCTCTCTCCACATCCGCCTCTCCTTTGGCTTCTTAGAGCAGCTCCCAGGGGATGTGGGGGCAGAGACAGAGCCCCTGTCTGAGGAGTTTGGCCACCACATGGCAGGTGCTGCATAATAAAGGGCTGTCATCTGGCTCCTCAGGTGCCCAGAAACTTCCTGCTGCTGGGCCTGGACCAGAGAGGACTTCACCCTTGGAGCCTCGGGGCTGCAGCCAGGAATGTGCACTGGGCTCCATCCTCCTGGGCCCCCAGCCCTGGCTCCCCTTGACTGCAATCTACCTGGAGTGGAGGCACCACCTGGCGGGGACAGGCAGAGGCTGTCTTCGTCACCAGAAATGGTGTGGCACCATGGCAGAAGCATGGGTTCTAGAGCCATACTGCCCGAGACAAAACCAACGTGCAGCTGTCACCCCCTGCCTCCATGTCCTCATCCGTAAAATCACTAAAACAATACTTCTGATCAGATAAGTCAGCCTTTAGGAGAATGCCTGGCCCACAGGGGGCATGAATGGCCATCAGCTACTGCTTTTTCTTTGTAATTTTTTTTAGTAGCTGGGACCACAGGCACACCAACAGCCACTGCTCTTATCGCCGCCTCCTCTAGGCCCGGCCTGCTGACCCCAGAAGCCTGGCTCTGGGCCACCTTCTGCTTCTCCTTCTCTCACTCCATCCCCACAGGCAAGGAGAGCCTCAGGGCAGAGGCCAAAGGCCTCTCTACTCCCTGGAGGCCTTGGGAGAAAGAATGTGACAAGGCCAGATCGCCAGCTGTTAGGCAGCCTCTTCACCTCAGCTCAACCTGGTGCCCCTCTGACACCTGCCCTTCCCACTGCTTGTGCAAGAGCGGTGCCACGTGGCAGGGGAGAGTCTGGCTCCGAGTTACCCCTCCCTAGCCGTGGGGCCCGGGCAGCTGGCTCACCTCACTCAGCCTCTTTTCCCCAAACAGTCCTTACCTTCCAGGTGGAGAGAGCCAGCAAGGTAATTCCTGTCAGGTGCCCGGTGCCTGGCATGCAGCTGACAGCCCCAGAAGTGTAGCCACTGTCGTTCTGCCTCTGTGACTTTGCTCCTGTTCTTCCTACTAGAAATTCCCTCCCTCTTCCATCTCTATCCTGGAAAACTCCTGGGCGTCTTTTGGAGCCAGGGTAGAGGATTCCTCCTTGTCGAAGCCTCACCTACCTCCCCGGAGGCGCCCTGCAAGCGGGAGCCCAGCAGCTGCCAGCTCCACTGGTCTGCCCTGCCCCTGTGGCTGTGCAAGAAGGGCCTCTGTCTCCCCAGAATCTAACCCTTTCCTGGCACGTGACAAGTGCTTAACAAGTATTTGGTGAAATAATTGAAGAAATAGATTAGTGGGCTCTCAGGGCCAACAGCTCAGCCCAAGATGAGCTGAACCTTCTCCTGCCCCAGGGACAGGCTGGGGCTGCTGGTGGCACTGAAATCAGAACGTGCAGGTGGGCAGTGCCAAGCTCCCAGACCTGGGCAGCTGCTGGGACATGTGGCTAGGCCCGAAGGAAGAGAAAGCAGAGGGAGAATGCTCAAGCTGCCTTCTTCACGGTTCCAGGAACTCACCTTTCTCTTTCTTTTCTTTGAGAGTCTCCCTGTAGTTGGTTTTCTTCAGTTCTTCGATGATGCCCTTGTTGGCATCGTCCAAGGCCTGTGGATGGTAGAGGGTGTGGTGAGCTCTTAGCCCTGTTTGCACCTGTTCCTTTCCTCACCTAAGCCCCAGTCCCAGAAGGCAGGGCTCTGGGGTAACCCTGCCACCCACGGCTTCCTTCTGGCTCCTCTGAAGACGCCTGCCCTCAGGTTACTCTGTACTTGGAATTATCCACAGTAAGTGATATGAGAGATACACACTGCAAGTCCACAGTCATTTCTCTCGGGCTTAGGCACGTATTTGGGACTCGTGTCTGTGTACAAATTTCTACCTAAAGTGGCTTTTGACTTCAATCAATGCAAAAAGACAATCCAAGCCCCTAAGCAAGGCAGCAAGCTGAGGAAGGGACCCAGGAATACACCGAGGGGACAGGCTGGGGGGCCTGGCCTGCCTTCAAAAGGGACTTCAAAGGTATTTGCAGTTTCTCCAACACGAGTTCCCATTCCACAGGGGCCTGGGCCAAGCCTGTGGGCACCTTGAGAGCAGGTTCTGTCCCTTGCTCACAGCATCCCAGGGGCGAGCCCCAGGAAGAGCCCCAGCAGCACTCAGAAATGTCTACTGAGCAGCCCTGGGCCTGGACGCTTGCTCTCCCTCGCAGTGTTGGTCTGCCCCCATACGCCCTTCTGCCTGGGACATGCCAGTCCAGGAGCATGAGGCATCAGGGACCTGGTCTCATG